TTCGCAAACAGCATCAAGAACTTGCACCTATCATAAACAAATCACTATAGTCTGGAATTATTTTTGTCTTCAAGTCATAAGTCCAAATTAACTTTATCAAAATCAATAAAAAGTCTGAAAGTCCAAAAAATGGCCAGCCGATGTTTGTCAAGTTGCTTTCAGACTGATATTTCCGAAATATATGTTTGAAGATTCCATTTATAGAACATTATCTTGGATGTACTTTCTACTTCCCAGACAAAAAAATAACCAGCATTGCTATGGAATTTTACTTTGAGTATCAATAAAAATCTATTACACCCTTCAGAAGAACAAGGGCCAAAACTCATCTTTTTATATTTTTCTATTAACTAAATTGCAATGGACTGACATATAAATTCTAAACATGTTTCAATAAATCTGTCAAGAGAAATACCTGCTAGAGATTTGATGATCGTGGGTAATGAAAAAATATATAATTTAGAAATAGAGTTTCGCAAATGACGTTTAGCAATATTGTATGCAATGAGGGAAATTTTATCAGTACAGCAGCAATACCTTTCTTGTTGCAATTTCCAACTGTCCCATTCCAACTACTAAACCCTTATTAGTCTCTCCAAACCAGCATCCTTGATAGAAAAAACCTTTGATATATCTGAACCTATGCCGTGTTGGAACCCTGGACCTTCAGGTTAACCAGAAAGTTTCTAACTGACTGAGCCAACCTGGCCACATTATGTCTGAAGAGATAATATAAATGTTAATCATACTTACTTTTACAGCATCTACTTTATTATTTAACATCAATTCCAATCTCTGTCTGACTTTCTCTAATATTTGAGATACTGATTTTTTGGTAATTTTATATTCGGATGGTATTTTATATTTATAATACTGTAAAAGATGAAATGTAACAATACAATATTGGGATTAAAATGGCTGGTAGAGCGTCTAACTCACTGAGCCACCGCGACTCCCAAAGGCTGGTAGAGGCCTTTGGATCAAAATGATATATAATGAAAGGGAATTGTAAAGAGACTTTCTAAATTTGTTATGTGCACCACTCCCATTTTCAGTCAGCTGTCTTTGGTCCCTGTATTTGCACTAAAAATAATGATTTGATGATGTCACAAATCACGAAGGGCCTTATGTCATGAAGCATTTTTTGCAATTTAGTGACGCCATCAAACACTTGATACATATAACAAATTTAGAAAAGCTCTTTATAATCCCTTTTAGTATATCACTGTAGGCAATGTACTGTTCATTGGAAAATCAATACATACAACTATACAAGATCTTATTTCAACAATATACAACAACTTCAAAATATATTTCCCAAACAATAGTGTCTCTTACAAAAATTTTTACATATTTGAGCAAAAAGAAAGACCAAAATACAGACTGATCCACTGTCAATAAATCTCACAAATATACATGTTTCAATGTTTTATGTTACAAGTCAAGTGATCTGTCAATATCATCATCTTTGATATCTTAGTTTAACTTATATTGCATTTTTTCCTCTGATGTTTTTGGGAAATAATTTTCTTAAAATGTGACTTTGAGAAAAAAAACATGGTCTATTATTAGCAATTTGTTGTTGTAGCATTCTTGGATAAGTTAACATGAAAGTCAAATAGAATCTTAGAGGAAAGTAGGCGGAGCTTAAGTATGCTACAACATGTGCATTTTGATGGTATTGCATAGCTGAAGACAAGCTTCTATTTCATTGGATAAAATATTAAGATATTCATATACACTATGTGTCTTGCTCATTAATATTTCATTAACTCGTTTGTTTAAATATATAAACTCATAAGAACCGTGTTATACTTATGTCACATGATAACTGTTTGTTACAGCGTAGCCTCTAGCAGACAACAAACTATGATCTGTGACCCCAGGTCACAACCAGGACAATTATGTCACTTAAGGCTAGTCCAAGTACGAATCTGATATGTAATCTCTGTAGCGTTTTCCAAAAGCAAGGGCATTAACTCTTAAACCAATCAAATAATCCACAGAAGTATCTATAAGCATACCAGGGTTTATAAAAATCTGATCCAAATTGCAGTCCTGAATTGAGTTAACATATGTTGCTCTAAAATACATGAAAATGGGGATCTTGTTTTGTCAAATCTGAACTACACTGAAGTTGAGAGTGAACTTTGAGATGACACAAGAGCTAAGTGTCTGCTGACAGTGAACTGTGTTCAATCAGCATGAAATAAAATGTGTAAAATAAATGAATGAGATGATATCATATCAGTAAATCTAACTCTTTCTGAGATTGAAACTTGTCAACATAATTCCAAAATAAACCATTTCAGTCATGTTATAGCATATTAATACCACCATCATGGCAAATCTTTGAGCTAATTAGCCATTTTTAACCAAATTTCAAAAAACTAGAATCTTGTTTTAAAGAGGTGGCATTCAAGAAACTGAGATTGTTGAATCGAACACTGCTATGCCAAAAATATGATCCTGCAGATAAGTCAATGTGTAAGATTTAGACCAAAAGACAGAAATATTGTTACCTTTGCAGTCTCTTAAAAACTGAAAAAGGACCATCAGTTGCAATTAAGAATTGAATATGCAGATATTGTACCTCCCATTGTTTGTGTGTAAAGAGAAACTTTATATGTCAAATATAAACTCCTAATTGCAATAAATATGAAAGCTTTGCTTGTAATCTCAAGTCAATCCCTCATTTTTAGCTAGTTAACTACAAGTGACTTTCAAACCTTCAAACGAAGACACCTCCTCTCAAACCCCTCTCAAACTAATAGAATATTCATGATATAAACAATGTCAAACCTGAAAATTTTATTTTGTTCTCTCGAAATATTATCAGGAGAAATAAATGACCCGCAAAAAATAGGTCTAGTAAACATATCTGTTAATTCATAGAACATGACAATCTGACTCTCAAAATCTAAGAGTGGAAACATAAACTGTCAGATAGAAAATAGAGAGAGACGGAACGTAAATTAGATTTCTGTGTTAGTAGTAAAAAAAATATGGTTTTTACCATCGACAAGTAATTAACTTGGTAGGAGAGGTCAGAAAAATATAGGTCTAAATTGAGGATATGGATCAATAACGAAACAATTAATCCTGGAAAAGCAAAAAAAACTATTTTCTGAGACGAAACCTATTTTTTCCCTGATATTTACCACTTAAATTAGATAATTGAAATTTTGCCAGAACATCGTCCATACATCAACGAAAGAAATAAATTTCCACCAGATTCTATAGTATGTAAAAGACGCCATTAACCTCAAATTTTATTTAAAATAATTATTTAAAGGTCACGGTTTATATTTTTGAAGGTTGAATATTTGTAAATAGTCTTAAGAAGTACTAAAATTCTATGAAAATCATATATAAACCCTTCAAATAGACCTCAAACCTCAAATCTCAAACCTCTGCCTGAATACTAGGATACCTGAAAATAGTTAATAGACTGTAAGCTGTGGACACCATTACTGATTAGCTAAGCTGAACAATTCCTGTTTGTAAGACTAAAGCACGATTGATCTCCAGAAATGGTGAACTATGGACTTTAAAATATCATCTCCATATTAATTTTATTCACCAGTAACAAGTTTAAAAAATGTAAATAGGTTGGGGCTCATGAACCTAAGTTGTTATCCTTATCTTTATAAGGTGGTATATCAAATTTATTTTAAGAAATGTAAACTTTTAAATCTTTCCAATTCCAGTATCCATCTATAATATCTAGAGTATTCCAACACTATCTTAAATCAACAGCTACATCTTCTGTTCTTTTGATGTGTTCAAGAGTAAACAGGCCCACATACATGACAAATTCATTTCAAACTGACGGTGAAAAAATCTTTTGCGATCTTATTGATGAAGCTTTAAGCCATCAGCACGTTTTGAAAGTGTCCTCAACAGAACTACAAGAGGAAATCAATATGGATTTGTCGGCTCATTTACAGATTCTTTTTTCTACGAAAAGAAAACATTGACAAAAACATCAGCCAAAATAATTGAACATCTGCGACAATTACTAAAAGATTCCAACATGAGAACTTGAAACAAGAATAAATGTTTGAAATCTGGCCTCTCTCATTCAAATCTTAACACTACATGCTCTGTTTTAAGTTTTTAGACAAAAGTTAAAAACAGTAGAAGGAAGCTATGTTTATCAAAGATGTAATCTGAAGTCTAACATCAAGGTGGTTTTATTTTTTTCAATTAAGTACGAACAATTTATATTTTTATTTTACACAGTTCAGTATCTACTTCAATTACATTGATATTAGTTACTTTCTCTGATATTTTTCTACTCTGTTGTAATCTAACATGTTTTGTACAGTTATCCCATTTTAACCAACCAAAGCGTGTCATTTGGGACTTGTTTCTGAGTGAACAATATGGCAGCCTATTTTTTAATAATGATTAAGTATATAATGTTATGTTTTGTCCAAGATCTGAAACTGAATTTTTAGACACTATAATCGACCATTAACAGGAATAACTCTGGAATATTTATATCATCTATTCCAATTCTATTCTACTGACTCTTTTATGAAAAATTCATCGAACTCGACTATTTCATCTACAGATTCACTCAGTATTTCACTTGAGAACACTAGTATTTTATCTTCTAGAATCTGATCTCCTACTAACTCAGGCTCTAGATACTAATTTGACCACAAAATAATCAATACTAAACAACCTGTCTAATAATTCTAATTAA